AAACTCTGTGTTGGGCAAGTGCAACAGAATATTTTCATTACATATCTAGAAAAAAAAAATAGAAAACATATCAGAAGTCCCAGCCCCAATATCTTTATCCTGTACAGATTTAATTTTTCTTTCCCTGATAGAGAAGCCACTGGAATACAGCCATTTTAATTAGGTTTACTATTAAAAAGGAAAAAAAAAAAAAAAAAGACTGCAATCTGCCATTGAGATAGAGACTTGCCAGTGTCATTAAAGAATACTATAAAAGTCACCTTATATATAGTATGCAATGACAAAAATACATATAGAGAAGAAGCATGATCACTTGAAAAAGTAAAATTAAAGGTTATAGTCAGGATATAGAGATGAAAAACACCACTGGCAGTCAGAATTTTCACTTTTATGTGATTATACAGCTATAGAAAGTATTAGAGTCATAACCAATGCAGGTAATCCCCTGGAGATGTGCAGCAAAAATCAGATCTTCCTTACAAACTGTGAAGGGTTGATCATGACCAGCTGCCAGACACCCAGGCAGCCACTCGCACTTCCTCTCCTCATGGAGACAAAATAAGGTGGAAAAGCTCGTGGATCATGCTGGGGCGATGGAAGATGAAAACCCGCTCCACCACACGGCCCTCGTGGGCTGCAGGGCAGTCCATGCCCGAGTGCTTGGGGCTCCGTCCCTGCCCATCCTCTGTGGGGGCTGGCAGGGCTCAGCCCCGCTCTGTCCCGCTCTCTGTGCCGTGTGTTGCCCTCCCTCAGCCGCAGTTCCCGGAGGGGCCGCCCCAGCCCCGCTCTGCCCCGCTCTGTCCCGCTCTGTCCCCCTTTTTCCCCGCTCTCTGTGCCGTGTGTTGCCCTCCCTCAGCCGCAGTTCCCGGAGGCGCCGCCTCAGCCCCGCGCTGCGGGACCGGCCTCTCCTCACCGCGCCCAGAGCCGGCCGTGCGCGCCTGGGCACACACACCTGATAACAGTCCGGGACAAATATACTACTGTGCTCTTTAATTTTAGGGGTTAAATTCAAAATCATTCACACATCTCAGTTTTGCTTAAATTGGTTGTGTCATTGCCCCGTCCAGCCTAAATGGAGCGCTGGTTTCTGCTGGTGGCCGTGACTCCCCGTGTCTGAGGGCGCCGGCTGGCTTTTCCCATGCTCCCAGGTGTCGCTGGGAGAGAATGCGTTCTTTTGCTTGTTCTGCCCCTGGGCTTGATTAATTTCAAGTTTGTAGAATACAAAATTCCCCTAGGATTTGCTTTCTGTCTTCCTTCCTCTCCTGTATCTTGTATAGTCACTTCATCTTTGACATACAGGACTCCAGGACCCTGCTTTGGCCCAGCTGGACAAGGACTTTTGTCAGCAGCAACTTACCTGGAAGTCCTTGGTATTGAGCTGTTTAGCTCATTGTGTAGCTGCAGTCCTGAATTCAAGCACGTCCTCCAAGTGTGGTTTGAAAGGGATTTTATTCTAGATCTACCAACAAATGTTTGAAACATTACGTTTCAAAGTATAAAAAGAGTGACAGGATGGTTGTTTTGATTCTTTTCTTTTGTTCCCTTCCCTTCCCTCCTCCCTGTTTGTGAGAGGAAACTTGCTGCAATTTATATGCCACTCACATATTTATTGCTGCTAATGGTGAGTTGTCATCACTTGATGATCTGGTGTTAATGACTTAATTTTTTAAGAAAAACCATACTCATTTATGCATAATTGTTGTCACCTTCAGTGTCATTGGGGAGTTTGTAACACTTTTTCTAGATTGTCTCTGATATTTTCTGGATTTTTTGTCTGTTTCTGTAATTAACTCTCAAGTTACTAATAATTTTTAGGGTTACAATGCTTAAATGATTTTTGTGGACTCAATCCTTCCTGCAGACATTCTAAGAAAAAAAAGAGTAGAATTATTTTCTAGAGTGAAAGAATGATCAAATAGAAACTCATCACTTAGATGCTGAATATGAAATGAGTACAGCCTGAATCCATTTTTCTGGGCCAAAGATTGTGAATGTAAATAGAAAATTCTCCACAACATCTGACTCAGAATATACTGGATCAATAAAAACAGCTAATGCAGAGTAGCTCCTAATTTTCAAGCGCAGACAGAATTTCAGGTGATGTATACGTCTTCCAAAGTTTATGCATCTGGTTTATACTAGATTCTAACATACACTGTTATTAATAGATGTTGTGCATGAAAACAAGTGAAAGACTGTTACTGTTTTGTCATTATTGCTGTGTGTATATTCCAAAATGTTTATATTTGAGAATTTGTTAAGCCAGCAAGCTGTCGGTGTTCACACACATTATTTACACATAGGTTTTCAATATAGATCTGTTCCAGATTAAAGCAAAATAGTGTTGGTTGCTTTGGAAAACATTATTGTTCAGAATATTTATTGAATGTATGGGTCTTCCTGATTAAGTGAGGATGAATGATGTCTATCTGTCCAGCTCAGAAAGTAGCATTATGTATGGATTGCTGATTGTGCCTAGAATGCCATTCTAGAGAGACAATTCAGTACCTTTAGAAAAAGTGTAAGTTTCATATCAAAGTAAATTGCTATATGAAATATAAATTTCAAATATGAAATTACCAGTGTTCCTAGAATTCCATGAGATTCACACATAGAAGTGGACTTCAGCTGTTGACACCAGTCCTGCTGAGCACGCAATCTTTCCTATGGCTCAGTGCAGATGGTGCTGATTTCCAGACTCAAACCACTCTGTTTTAAGTGACTGTTGCCATGATGCTGACAAAATGGAAACTTCAGTTAACATTTTCTATTGTTATTCATGCTAAATCTCATGCACAGAAAATGAAGGAGAAAACCAGAGATAAGCCAATCTTAAAAAATATTTCTCATGTAAATGCGTAGCTTCCCTGCAGGGCTCTCTAAAAGTAAGCAGCTGAAGTACTCAACCACCTGACTTACAGCTGACTTAATCAGACCTTATTTTTGATAGTGCTAAGGTCTCCAGATGAATGTAATACCCCTTTCTTCATTACTGAAAATATGTTGGGCAGTGAAATTAGTTATTTATTATGTGCATATTTAGTGCCTAAATAGCAAACGAAATTCCAGAATTAACTCCTTAAACACTTCAATTTCCAAATACAGAGTTTCTCAAGAAGAGGCAGGACAGTTATGGTATTTATGGCATTTAACTGCTGCTTTGAAGTCTTGATGAACTGCTTTCCTGTAAGCAGATATTCAGTCTCCCTGTTTAGAATTATAAATAACATCTGTCTAGTGCGTAGATGATGGTATGGAGTATTAAAGGCTAAGGATTAAGCATTCATTAAATGATGAATCATATTCATTATGGCTTTTTTCTGTAGAACAACCCTTTCTGCTACAAACCCAAATAATATTTATGATGAATAAACAGAAGTATCTTGCTCAACTAATACCCAATATATTTCTGTAGAGTTCATTTGCTTTTTTTGTTCTATGTTCTCCTCCTAGTCAGAACAGTTTTGGCCTATATTCTTTGGAAACTTACTCAGCAACATCAAGACATTTTTAATTTTTATATTTGTCTTTATTCTTGTAAAACCAAAACTATTGGTACCAGCTGAAAAGAATCAGTTAGAAATATGTAAATCCAGTCCCCAAATGCTGCTTCGTTTCCCAGTTTTTTTCTATTGTCAGTTTTGTAACAGACACAAGGGATTTTATTTATTAATGAGATTGATTGATTTGATTGACTGACTAAGACATTTGGTATGGTTGAAGTGTTTGATGTATCAGAAGTTCTTGCTTTCAAATAATAGTTTTCTTTGTTTTGGAGCATTTAATAGGAAGGCTAATAAAGCATTATAGATTGAAGGGCTGCATATTATATCAAATGTTGTCTTCCCTTAACTTTTGTTTTTGACCACAGAGAATGACACAGTAAACATTCCTATTGAGTGACAGATTTGAGACTGCAAAATGAACAGAGAGGAAAAAGTGAATAAGTCCTCAACTAGTCTCTGTGTCTAACAGAAATGGGAAAAAGACATTAGAAAAGCAGATTCTGTAGGCAGCCATGGCAGTATGAACTGTCCTAGAATTTAGAATAAGTCTCTTCTGCTCTAGATAAAATATCTGGAGGACCATCAGTAGATAATTCCCATAGCTCCCTTAGAAATACTATTTGCATCTAACAGGTCTACCAAATACATTTGATTTCTTCTAATACAGCAGACAATATACAGATAAAAATATGGTCATTAAAAGTTTTTCCAAAGTGAAAAGCTTGCATGTTAAGGATTGTTACTTGGCCTGGGCAGAAAAAAGAATTCAGATTTCAGTGTTAAAAAGTGATAAAGAATTACTATTTCTCTTTTAATCGGATTCTTTTATTGTGTGCTAGTTTCACAGATGGGATGGAAGTATTTGCTCTAAATGTCCTTTACAGAGACGTTTTTGTGGACAATTGTATTTGCTTGCTCCCAGTCATTTGAACTTACTTTCTGCTGTGAAGATGTGTGTGCTGTGAAAGATGAGATCTTGTTTTCCTTGTGTGCTTCCATTTTTTTGTGTTATATGATTTCATATGGGGAAATAAGTTTTTTTCTCAGTAGTGACTGATCTTAATTTTGCATATTCATTTCACATCTTGAAGATGATGGAGACCATATTTGCTTTCCTATATTCTCTGAAACAGACAATTTATTTTTGTTATGAAAGATTTTACCTCTCTGCCTGCATTGGTAGGATGCAGGAGGATGCCTGCTGAGGATGCCCCACATCCTTTATCTAATTCTGAGGCAAAACTCACAATGACATAAATAGCAAATACACAGAGCACACATTTACTTTTACATGATATATCGCTCCAATGAGTTTACTGCAGATTTGCATCAGATCCCTGCTCTACCCTGTCTTCTACTGCAATTTTCATTATGATACTGTAAAATATTTAGCTATGCATTGAGGTCTAATGTCAGTGCAAAGACTACCACTGAATTAAGTGGAATTTGGAATCAGGTAGTAAAGAATAGGTTGTTTTTTTATTTTGCAGGGGTGTGCCACTAAACACATTTTTCACTGTAGCGAGTCTTGAGAAAAATACTAAATAAGGGCTGTGCTCTATGAAGGACTGCCTTTGGAACTATAACAGGTCAGTCATTAACCACCTTGTACATTTAAAAGATAACGCTAACTTGTCTACCTTTTTCTTATGTCTAATTATAGCTAAAATAATTTACTCTGTACAGTCTTGTTCAAAAGCATGTCTTCGAAACATGCTTTCTGAATACTTAAAAGTATTTATCTGCTAAAGCTGCCATATAGAATCGTCTTTTCATGTTTTTATTGTAAATATCATAAAAGATCTACTGCTGCTCATGTTTATGTACAAATGTGGCCACTAACCTTGCCCCACTTCCACAGATTTGTTCATCTCATGAGACACTTTGTATGCTGTAAACTGAAAAAAGATACACAATTAAAACTTGTTAAAGATAATTAAACTGAATTGGAGAGAAAAAAAACTGCCACATTGCTTTGTTCATAATAATAATCTCTGAACTATAATTAAATTCTTCCTTCCAATAATTGTATACATATAAAAGAATTTTCCAGATAGCAAAACAATACAATGATTAAAAATGATTAAGAAGCTGATTTCAAAAGCAAAGATGAGCCAGAGACGGTTGGAAAGATTTTAGGTGCCTCTAAATATACTGTACCAGCTGGGTACCAGATGGTGTTTGGCTACTTGCACCCACTAACTCAAAATACCGAAGGAGTGACTACACCATTGCCAGAATCAGTTCCCCTCCCTTAAATAAAAGTGGCACTCTTGGGAATGACTTGGCAGTGCAGAAAAATTTCCTGACAATGAGATCTATTAGATTGTGAAGTAGTCTCCCGAAGGCAGAAGTAGATGCCAAATTGCTTGGCATGTTGGAGAGGCTGGAGGAAATCTAGAAAAATACTGTAGAGATGTGTTATTCTAATGAGATGGTGACTTTGTTATAAACTTGGAGCTGGGGCATTTATATAAGAATGTTTCTGCTTTCTCTAGAAAAACTTTGGAATATTTACCTTTGTCTTTCACATTAAGCTTCTTTGCATGAGGCATCAAGGACTGAAGACATTTTTTCTTGCTTGTATCTAATAAAAAATTAAATCAGTCATTTCATGGATATAGTTGGCTTCATGATCTTGGTATTTGTGTGCTTTTTAAAAAATTATCTTGTACTAATGTAGCATACATACTTTCCTTCCAAAATGTTGTTAAGGCATCTTGCAGAAACAATAAGCATCACCAATATGTTATACGAGACGTGCAGACATCATCAGCTTTTGAGGATAATGAAAAAACTCTTGTAATTTGTTCCTCTTATCTGTGATCAAAGGATAATTAGAAAGAAAGAAAAGATAATTAAAAAGAAATTAACTTCAAACTCCCATTTCAGTTGGCTGTTTGAGAATCAAGCCAGAAATAAGAAGCACATCACTATATGTAGCAGTTAGCTAGCAAGAAATCATCTTCCAAATTGTTGGAAGTGTGATTGCATTAATTGTGTCCAAAATGAAAGGTTAAAGAAATCAGTAAAATCATTGTATTATGGAATACAAAAATGGGAATGATCTGATTAACTAATGAAGGTTCCAGCCTCTACAGATGCTGCTGGAACTTGATTGCTATTTCAGACTAGCTGAATTAGTACATCCAAGGAAAAAGTAGAAGGAAAAGAGTGAAACCTTTTTTCCTTTTCTGTTTTGTTATTGTTTATTTATTCATTTAAATGAATAAAAACCTTGGGGACCTAAAGCCTCCAGTGTCATTTGAAAGTATCATTTTCTATTTGAGCCCCAGCTGTGAACTCTTTTGTCTTTGAACTAAATGCAGCTGGGGCTGAAAGCGCCCTTGGCAGAGACAAAGCAGTTGTTTTCTGAGGCGAGGCTTTGATTCCACATCTTTTCTCACTGCCACTGCAGACTAATTTTTTGCTTGTAAGTAGAATATAGGTCCAGTATTTAAAACCACAGACCTGCCTTGTGGTGAGTGACTTCCATGCAGGTTGCACAGGAAGGGTATAGCCTTCTCCAGAGTCTCTCCTACCTTTTGAAATCTTTGAAGTATCCCAACAGGAGCTCTTCTAAGTACAAGAAAGTCTGGAGTTTTAAAAATTCAGTCAGCTTACATCTAGTGTTAGTTTGCAATGATGGTGAGGTGAGAGGTAAGTAGAAGTACAGTGGAGTCCTTTCCAAGTGTGTGGGTACTCCTTGTCTCTTAGGGCTTGTTCCTCAGTCTCCTTGAGTTCAGAAGCAGCAAGACAAAATCATGAGACAGCTAAAGTTTGTGTTTTGATACTCATTTCTTTCAGACATTTGATTTTGTGGAAAGATTGCTTAAATCTCAGTAGCACGCTGCTGCTTTGTTGGTATCAGGTATTTGCCAATCAGCACTTACTTGAAAAGCACTGCTCAGGACAGTTTGCACATGCTATAAGGAAGAGGCTGCTGTACTTCAGATGTTGCTGTGCTCATATTTAAGCTCTATGGCCACGAGGGAATGAATGGCAATGATCAAAAAACCTGCTGATCCAGTTTCGTCATCAATTTTCCCCAAAGCCAGATTGCAGAGGGGTATCAGAAACTATTCATAGATTACTGAGCTTATTTTGAACTGACAATTTAAAAAAAAATTTCTGTCCACAGTAGCAGCAAATACTAACTGCTAGCACCATGCAACTACTCTTACCTTACTGAAAATACTATATGAAGTTTTTATAGGAGATTTTGAAACCAAAGCAATATAAAATAAACATTCAGTCATGCTCAGGTCCTTGTCACTTATTAACCCTATGGAGCAATGCAGAGGATAAAAACCAAATGCAGACCCTGGCCAGCAGAGTTCCTTTTCTTGTCTGAGGAGGATGCAAGTGTCATAAGGAGCTGACACAAAGCTCACAGCATACTGAATCTCTTCTTTTCAAACTCTATTTGTACTGGGGGAAGAGCAGAGTGATAAAAATACTGCTCTTATGCTACAGTCCTGGATTTGAAATAGACCTGATGTTTCCAGTAAGACAAAGAGCAGAACTTAGCATACCTTTGAAGATATTCTGTCAAAAATTATTTTTGCTTTACAGTGATTGACATGGGGAGAAAAATGACATCAAATTTTTTTTCTAATTCATCATTTTTATGGATTACTACATATTTCCTATGAAACCACAGGAACATCCAAGTATATAGAGACAGACTCTGTAGTGTGAACCCAGTGTTGCTTCTGTGAAAGAATTGTGTGTACCTTTAGACACACAGCATCTGAAAATACACCTGCCTTTGTTCTCTTTTCTTCAGAGTGGGGCTCTCCACTCATGTTACACAGATCAGTAGGAAAAAAGCTGCCTTGCTATAACACTGCTGACTTCTGTACAGACTGAACTTGACATTTGACTTTGGTCAAGTTACACTAGAGAAGAATGTGTCCTTCACTTTGCAGCCTTCTAAAATACTTGTTATTTCAAAAGAGTATACTGAGTCTGTATGTCCCAGCTGCTTTCTGAGGGGATGCAGATAAACAGAACTTTTTTGAGTTTATTTTTTTATTTCTAGCTTATTTGCTATCCCAGATAATGAATTAGTTTTTAACATATCATATTGATCAATGTTTTAGAAATCAAATAACATTGGAAAAAAATCACATAACTGAAATAATACACTAGAAATCAAGTAACTGAAATAATACTACTGTAGATTTCTAAAGAATAGATTTAAACTTTCTCTTTAACCTAATCTAGTCAGTTGTGAACTGCTAAATGCTCAATAATTTCAATTTGGCAGCAATAGAAAATAGTATTTTTTCCATGTAGCAAGTACATGCAAGATGCATGAATTAGTGGAGAAGATCTTAGGAGCTTGTGAAAAAGAGCTGACCCATCTAAATGAACAGCTTTTCTTTTTTGTGCTTGTGTGTACTGCACATCCTTTCGGAACACAGTCCCAAATCGTAGTGGTGTCCCAAATCACAGGATTAATGTGTCTATGGACAGACCTCTTATGCCTCCAGAATGAAGTACTCCTTGCTAATTTCTCTTCAAGACACCAGCTTAATTGCATTTTAAACAAATGGGCTGCTTTGCTGGCCAACTTTTAAATGAGATAACAGCAATGTTCACTCTCCAGCAGTGATGAGTGCCTTGCAGTAGATTCAAAACTCTGTTCAATAACAGGTTTAATCTCACACCAGCAGATTTACTGCAGAATAAACTGCCACTGAGCTCATAATTAGTAAAACAAAAAAACCCAACCTACTAAATATTATTTTCCAAAGCAGCAGGCTATGTTTTAGTGGAAAATTTCAGTCCTTTTCTTTGTATGTTTTATTGATTTTATGTATGATATTGGGAATTCATGCTATGATTTAAGATAATGGTCTTTATCGATCACTTAAGCAGTTGTTTAGCTACACAGTAACAAAATGATGCTCCCATTCGTGGAATATGTGATACTGACAGCGGGGAGACCACAGTGCTTCCCTTCTTAATGTTTATTTCTTTTTTCCAAAAGCATATTCGCTGCTGGAAAACAGCAACTGCAAACATTTGTGCTTTAGAAACAATCTTCCTATAATTTTCTTTGTTGCAGCTATTAGTAGCCAATTGTGATTCAGTGATACCCAGCTCAACAAACAGATGTTCCAAAGTATATTCTCTGTAGCATGAAAAGAAAATATTAATGAGGTAATTGGAACTATTGAGGAAAAGAAAATGGGGAGTATCTAGTTCCTAATGTTTGAAGTTGTGGCCTTTAGTGTTTTCTTGTATTAAGAGACAAAGTGAAGTTTCAGGATGTAACCGTAAGGCAAATTTCTAAAAAGTCCTTAGTCTGGATTCAGGTCTTCATGTGTATAGTGTATTTGTACTCAGGAAGAAGAAATCTGAGGAATGTAATTGCAAAATTTGGTCTCCAATAATTAAAAAAAAACAAACAAACAAACAAACAAGAAAAAACCCTCAACAACTCCCAAGGCTATAAAGCAGCTGGGAGGACAGGGAATGAAGTCAGGGTACAGTATGGCTTTTTCTTCTCAGTGGGTTGTATATATGGTGACTGGTTCTGCTTATGAAAAGAGGGATTTTTTTAGTGAATCTGTGCATA